GATCTAATCAGGAAAAAAAACCCAAAAAACCCCCCCAAACCCAGCTCCCCGTGTTTAAATATCCATCAGTGGGATTTCCACCCGGCTCTGCTGTCCTGTCCCCACCCTGGAGATCACTCGGGTTTTTCCTTCCACAAAGAAGCCGTCAGGAAGCCTCTGCGTGGGATAGCGCTCGCTTCGGAGGGTGAAGCCGATCTCACCCTAAATCGGGGTTTTGCTCCAGCGGAGCAGCTGCACGGTGCAGCACCATGGAGCGTGTGCTGCTCGGCTTGGCCAGGATATGCTCTACATGTTTTTTTTTTTTCTTTTTTTCCCATTTATTTGGTGGTTTTCCTTAAAATGCATCATCCAGGAAACGCCACCTCCCCGGCGAGCCGCAGCCAGGGTGTTGTGTTCACGTGGGGATCAGTTTACGGTGTGGAAATTAAACCCGGGGTGCAGCTTTTCAGAGCCGTGCTGGGGACAAGACCCTTTGGGACCCCCGACCCTTTGGGACCCACCACCCTTTGGGACCCCCGCATCCCTTGCAGGTGGGGGTGCGAGCTGGCTGGGACCCCCGCACTGACTGTAAATTCTTCTCTTTTAGCTCAGGGTCATGGTGCCAAAGGGGACAACATCTATGAATTTCAGATCGAGTTCCTGGAACTGGTCGAGCCTAAAGTAGGTTTTGTTTTTCTTTTTTTTTAACTTTTCTAACTCTTGCAAAGAAAAAAGTAATTTTGGAAAAACTTGTAGGGAAGATGGCTGTGCACAAAGCCCGTAATACTCGGTTTAGCTTTTCCTGGTGGCTCTGTAACCGCTGCAGATTGTCCCGGAGCTCGGTCCCCATCCCGCATCGATGCAAATCACCCCACTGGAGACAGCGCTCGCGTGGGTCGCTCTAACAGGAACAGGGCGGTACGCTGGTGAACAGCAGGGGTCAATTTTTTAAAGGATTTAAAGCAGCAAAATGATGGGGAAATCTGTCGGCGCGTTCTGTGATGCAGCCTTGACCGGAGAGCAGGGGAACGCTGCTGCAAAGCGTCGGGGTGACGTTTCCTGGCTCCTTTTGCACCCCGACAGAAGGAAATCGTGAGAACTAGTGCTTCTGGCTCGTGCAGGTTGCTCAGGGTGCCAGGACAGATTGTGGCTCCTGAAAATCTTTTCTGAATCGCTGTCGTGCAGCAGGAGGGAGCTTGGCTGGAGGAGCGGCCCCTCGGCGTCCCCCGCGGGTGGCTGTCTGTCTGTGCCTCTCCGAGCTGCAGGGGCACAGGAACACCCTGGGCTCTGCTCCTGGTGCCTGAAACTGATGTCGAACCAAAACTTCCCCGGGGAAAGGGGACACGAGGGCAGGCTGAGAGTTGGGGGTGTGCAGCCTGGAGAAGAGACGCTCCGGGGAGACCTTCCAGCACCTTCCAGTGCTGAAAGGGGGCTGAAAGGGGGCGCCAGGAGAGGTGGGGGGGCTCTTGATCAGGGGTGGGGGGGTAGGACCAGGGGAACGGCTTCAGCCGGGGCTGACGGCAAGCCCTCGGCTCTGCAGAGCAGCCTCCTGCCAGGAGTCCCGTCACTGGGGCACCGTGGCAGGGGCTGCAAGGCTGGAGGAGGATGGGACGGAGTGCAGGCCAGGGTTTTCTCTTTCGGCTTTGATGTGCACCATGGGGGCTGCTTGCTGGTGGCACCAGCGAGAGACGGAGGCTCTGAGGGGGAAGGCTGGGGCGCTGGGAGATGTAAATCAGAGCTATGGCCTTCGGGTGTCCCGGGAGCATCCCCGCAGCCTTGGGGGAGCAGCGCTGGTGTGATGTGCGCAGTTCAGAGCACAGCTCACGGCTCTTCTGCGTCCGTTTCAGCTGCTTTGAGAAGCGGTCCCGTGTGGAGGGATGCCGTGGTGGCACGCAGGTGACAGTGCTGTGGGCTGCAAGGATGGAGAGGCTCTGGTGCCATTACACAGAGCGTGGCCGCGGTGGAAAGCCCTTGCGCAATGGCAGTGACCGTGCTGCCAGGTCCGTCACCTCCCCATGTCTCCAGGTGTTTCCCAGGCTGTTAGCTCTTCCTCTGGGATGTCCCCTGCTTGGGACAGGGACCCGTGGCTGATGGCAGCGTTATTTTGACCCCTGGCTGGAGCAAGTGGGTGGCTCACGGTGCTGAATACAAGAAGGTCTAAAGCCATGGGCTCAGCTTAGGAAGGCCGGACCCTGCTCTGTGCTGGCTCTTTGTGCTGGGATGCAGTGGTGCTGGGCAGGCTTCCAAGCTGCTTATCAGATCCGCCAGCCACCCCAGTTTCCACCTTCAGCTGGGATGCCCTTTGCTCCCACGCCTGGGGTGGCAGGGAGATGCTGGTGCTGCAGCGGTCCGTGTCATCCCTGCCTCCCTGGGTGCCAGCTCGGTCGCTGAGCTGGTTTCTTCAGACTTTTGCTGATGTGTGCTCCTGTGCCTGCCCTCAGCCTGTGTGCAGGGTGACCCAAAGGCAGCTGAACATCACCGTGCAGAAAAAAGAGAGTAACTGGTGGGA